AGCTAAATTTAGCGATCTTTTCGTTAAACCCTTCTGAGAAAAGGGATCGGATGATGAAGATTACGGTATAAGTGGAAGTTTGACACGGGAAAAAAAATTGAAAAGACAATTTCGGGAAACAAATCAAAGTTTAGACTAATTTTGGATGGGCATTGGCAACAAAAATGTCTCCTTAATTTAAGAAAACGATGGCAAGTATAATACTAACAGGGATGAAGTTTAATTAAAAGAAAACTTGAAATAAATGAAGTAGTAATTGTAATGGGTGAAGAGCAACAAAGATGAATCTGGAAGTTAGAAGTCATAGAAGAGCTGATATCAGGTAGAGAAGAAGTAATTGGAAATATAACAGTACTATTCCGCGACAATCACAAAATAATCAAACAGATAAATTTATTAATCTTTCCAGAAATTAGAAATTAGCATGAGGAGGAAATAAATATCGATTAAGTAAAACATGGAACCTATAAAAAATGCAAGTAAAGGAAAGGAGTTGATCAAATCTCATTCTATCGATAATGATTAATTGATCATTAGGTCAATGCTCTTTCAGTATTGAAAACGAATAAGATCAAGATTCTAAGCTTATTATGCTTGATATTTTTTGGACTAATTATGGCGGAAAATAGAGCAAAATATTAATTACTCAATGAAAGTTCTGCATATTCACTTCCATATGGAAAATTATTTTTGTGAAAAGTAAAGCCTTGGAATAAAATGAACATATTGGAAGTATTTACGAAATAAATATCATTTAAAAACAATCGTTGCAACGGTTGAAATCCATTCAAACCATATTTTTTCTCAATTGGAAGTATCTCTGTTAATTTTCAAATTGGTTTCCGTTAATTTTTCGTTGGTTCTCAGATTGATACCTTTAAAAGTTATTTTTTGTGGCGACGTATTTTTGGCGGTTAACTTAACGTATTAATTTGTATTTTGTAATTTTGTAATTCTTAATGATTATACGATGTTAATGTTATTTCTTTTATTTAACAATTTAATTATCCAAGTTTGAGGTAGGAATGAAGAAAAATTTACAATTCCATGTCACATTGTACAAGGAATTCATAAGAATACAAGAAAATATTCCTTTCCACTTTTCATACTCGAATGTGAGCTTTATCATAGTTGAACTTAATTCATACTGAACTATACACTTCTTAGATTTGTCATGAAACTTCACCATAGAATTCATTTGAATAGCTGAAAAAGAATCCGATGGTTATTGCGTTTATGCTATTATCCACTTGTTTTTGTTTCTTTTTTTTTTAGTCCTAATAGTAAATTTTGCGGCTTCTAATGCTAGATTATTTTCGATGAAATACAGGACGAAAAATTGTAACATTTCATTTGGATTCTCATTATTTGAAATTTTAATTAAACAAAGCTTTAACGCTACTAATAAAAGTTCACAAGAGAAAGCACACAAATCTTTTTTTTTCTTTTTCCAGGTTGAAATTTTTCATTTTATTACTTAGTTTCTTTATTAAAAATTGATTGAATTTAAACAATTTCGAGATTTTTCCTGGCAATTAATCTGTAAATCTATGTAACTTTTTTCTTTCCTTTTTTTTTTGTATCATGTCAATTATTCACGTTTGTCATTCACTTCGTACGCATTTGCATATTATATTTTATTTTGCTCTTTAATTTCCATAGTTTTTATGGCTATCAATTACAAAATAAAGCAAAAATGAGACTTCATTACGCAGAGCCAAAGTCTTTTCAGGGTGCATTTTGAAAGAATGTCTACAGTATGACAAAAATAGAAATACAAATAAATGGTATATAAATTGTACATATAAACAAATATACATATAAATATACATATACATATAATATGCATAAACATATAAATGGTATTTAATTGACCTATAAAAAATTTAACAAAAAAAAAAGAATAGCTAACATATTGCTATTGAAATTTTGCAAAACTTTTGAAATTATGCTAGTATTTTCTTCAAATTATAACCTATTCATAGTAAAGGAGTTTGCCCATTAAAAAGAAAAAAAAATGATAATGAAGATTGATTAAAGTATGAAACAATCTCAAATATATCTTTTGATACAATGACATAAAATAGTCAAAATATTATCTTAGAATTGAAAGAGAATCAATAAAAGTAGTATGGATGAGAAGAAAAATGACATGTTATTATGCTAAATGATATAAGAATTACTAACTATTTGAATATTTCAACATCACTCAACTGGATAGTTTTGATTCATTCCTTTTTTTTTTCTTTTATTTTCTATCAATTTATGGAAGAGAAGGTTACCACTTCTGATGTTTGGTATTAATATGTGTGTTGAGAACATATGTCTTCATATAGTAATTAAATTGATGATATTTCATATATATAATTCGTTTTATTGTAATTTCTTTAGCAGTTAAAAATATGTTTGTTTATTTGTATCAAAAAAAAAATAAATTAATACCATATCATTACTTCGACCAATAATCGTATCTTGCAACCTATTTATAGTGTGACATTTAAGTTGGCGATAAAGTTGACAGAAAAATTGTCAACTCTATCAGTAAGTTGCTGGAAAATTTTTTGGAACTAAACAATGGCATATATAAATATGCTTCATGCAAATCATTTTCGTCGATTATTTGCAGGATAACGTTCTTCAACAAGTAAATCTTTTTTTTTTTTTTTACCTTGTTCTATCAAATTAACATATAGGGATTGAATTTTTAAATATTTTGGAAAATTTTGCTAATAAAATAATTAAAACTAATTCCGACAGCTCCAATATTATTGCAATAAATACATTTAATAATTTATTTACAATAAATCAGGATATACCACAGTAAAGTTTGCAATCAAGATAGAGTCTATCAAGTTAGAATATAAATGACATTATCGAAACGATCACAATTTAATTCCAAAATAAAAATATATCAATACAATTAAGACATTTCATTTCATTGACCACAAATCTTAGTGGTAATGTCCTCATGCTATCTTAAAAAAATGCAATGATCAAAACAATGCAGAGTTATTATCATTTGAAATATAACCCTTCTTTTAATCAATAACTGACAAAAAAAAAAAACAGAAAATGTCTAGAACTGTCACAATGAGACCTAATCTAATACCAACTTGTCGCAGTCATTTTCAAAGCGATTGTCATTCACCCTTTACCCAAAACATTACCAAAAGTTTTCGAAGTGTTAACGCTGAAACTAAAATCTCTAGGATTTGCAACAGTATCAGCAAACAACACGAATTTCAAAAGATCACTTTGCTAATTCTGACTTTTCTTTCATCCCTTTCCATTTTGCGGATCGCAGAACATCTCTATGATACAGTATCTTGCAGCCTGTATAAACATAACAATTTGTTTAATCTTAGAAGGCGTATTTTTTTGCAGAATTAGAAGGAACATATTCTTTAATTCAAAATAACTAACCACATGAAATAGTGATGATAAATTCATTATTGCATTAAATAGGTTAGTGATAAAGTGATAAGTGAAAATTCTTTAGTCACACAGCAATTAAAGATAAAACAAAAGCCACTGTAGTTTAGAAATAATTTCAGATCTCAGTTCTAAATTGTTTAGGTATCAAAGCTGAATAAGTATCAGCAAATATTGCAGTAGAGATAACACTCTGTAGTTAAGTGGTGTTTGAGGGATATGTCTGAGAGATATCTGAGTTTGAGAGATGTCATTCACACAGCTCCTTTAGAGGCATAATGTCATATTTATCAGCTATGACCAAAATATCTTCTTCATAATCTTCTACAAAATCTATCAAACCTGTATATATGCACTCTACCACAGCTTATCTCTATAAAGTTCACATTACCTGAACATGTAATAAATTTTGTGGAAATGAATCATTAATTACATACAATAACTCATTGTTCAACTAAGTCACTGTTATATGTAAATGTGTTATTGTCATATGGTCTCAAACTTTGAATCCTCAATATCAATAATTCTTTTTTTGAGCCACCAACATTACTCACCTGGTGAACATTAAATGGAATACTTCACTATAAATATCAATGAACTTTAAACAATCTTCTGGATATCGTGATAAATTGTAATATCACAATCTATATACAACAATTGAGATCTTATTATCTTAGAAATTTAGCCTTTAGCCGTCTAAATGATAAAGGTAAAATTAACCATTTCAAATGTAAAATATAATAAGTAAAAATACCTTTGTAGTGGAATTCTGCAAAGAATTCATTCTAAAACATGTTTTTAAGAGTTTTTAAAAGAATCAAGAATCAAACCACATCCCTTTCATTTGTTGCTTAAATTGCGAAGAGATACAGTGAATCAGTAATTCTTTTACTATTGTTTTAATACTACTGGTTATAATACGGTATGTGTATTGATTGATATACTGTACAATGTAAAATTTTCCATCCATTGTGTTTATGTGCTGTAACAAAGAGCTCCTCAATCTCATATATGTTAACAATTCTTGTAATCTTAGAATTGTATCAGGATCCTCCCATATTCAAGATAACTGAGGATCCTGAACACCAAAAGTATTTCGAGAGATATGTTTCAAAGATATCGATTGGATAGACGATATTGAGCGTCATTGGATTTCTATTTCATGTTCTTATCGTCCAGTAGTTTGTCATATCGAAGTGCGTAATTGCTGAATTCGTTGTTTATTAATAGATTTATCGTAGTAAAGGTTTAATTATTCAAGTTTAAGTAATGCCAATAAAAGAGACAGGAAGAATCCTCAATCTTTGTCGAAGAAAATTAGCACCCATCACTAAAATCATCCAGAAGCTTTGCTTCCAGCTACTTGTTCAACACTATTTTTTG